CACTGTTTCTGTTAATTGGTCCCGCAGCATGCAATGACACATGAATAGCAACAAGAACGAGAACGTCAACAACAGCAATTAGTAAATTAACCAACCATTAAATAATTAAATTCACACACGTGCACGCACGCACATGCACGCACACACACGCACACACACGCGCGCGCTCACTCGTGTGTGTATGTGTATGCCTGCGTGCGTGCGTGTGTGTGTGTGTGTTATATATAAATTATTTAAATAATATATAGGTGGTTATTTTATTTATTTGTTTATTTATTTATTTATTTATAGTATTATTTAGGTATTCATTTATTTATTTATATATAAAACACACCATAATTGCCGATGCTGCTGGTGATGACAATAACAGCGACAACGTTGACAATGGCGATTCAGCGTAATTCACAGCGGCTTCGCGACAACCGATATTTTTATGGCATAATTTAAAAAAAACTCATAATAAAATCAGTGTGGAAATCTGAAACTAAATGGCGGCGCGAGCGCGCGCGCGGGTGGGTGCATGGACCCGTTATTGGTTTTATTGTTTGTTCTGTCGTTTATGTTAGAATTAATTGAAGTAATTTAGGGGCGGCGGTAATCAACTCCACACAACGATCATTCCACACTCCGTGTCTGGTTGTTAAACACGCAGAGTATAAATCTTTTCGAGGCGAATGCCTGATATAGCTGTGACAAGCGTGCGTATGATTTATCGTGTGGGGCGCGCGGGCTAGCACGTGTGCCGTACGTGGGAGAGTCAACTCCCGATGACACGACTCCGCTCGTTTAATTAATTTACCTGTCCGCTCGGCGGCAGCAATCGACTGTCAGATAAGATTATTATACAAACAATTACGCGAATAAAGAAACAGAAATTTTTATATATATATAGAGATATATATGTGAATGAATGTTGTCCATTTCCAGCATTGATTTATGACACTGAACGGCTGTGTATGCGTCAGAATTACCAGACACACAGTGAAAATTAACTTGTGTAAAACTAATTTTCTGATCATAAAGCTTAAGTGCGCGGGTTTTTCTTGGTTTTATAGTTGATTTATGTGCAGGAATAATTTCGAATCAGTCCGTTTAACGGGTTTCGGGTGTCATTCACGCTACTAAATTCGCATCAGCGGCGCGCGCGATATTCCGCGATCAGATTTTGTAACCGAGCCTGGTTCAACTTGATAGTACATAGTAGCTCTTAATGCAATTATCACCGCTACGGTGGCGCCATCTATATGCCACGCAGCGTCTACATTTGTATATCACCTGCGCGCGCTATGGCGAAATGAGCTCGTGTTAAAACCGCTGACGCTACTCAAGACAATGACGAGCACGGAGAAATATATGAGGCGTGCGATGAGGTCTTCTACGACTATGGAAGCGAGGTGAATTCATGCGTGAGCGCGATATAGAATAGGCAGACGATAAAACCTCGTCAGCAACACGCCAACAATTCTGAATAGGCTACCCCCTTCTCGTCGCTATTGAATTAGTCAAATGAAAAGTGTACGCATAAAATATTGCATTATCTGCATCGTTGCTTAAATCTTGCTCTATTAAATTATACGGAATATGGAAGGAGATTAAATGGCTTTTTCTGCCAATGAATCAAACATAATTGATAGCATGTAATCTAATTCCTCTCCCTCATGCTATCGGTGATTTTATTGCCCGCACATGTCGAGTCCACGAGGAAGATGCAGCGACGATGGCGGGAAGGACGAAGGTGCAGTAGCTAGTGTGCGCGCGTGCGTGTGTGCGTGAGTGCGTGCGTACGTGCATGCGTGTGTGCGTGAGTGCGTGCGTACGTGCATGCGTGTGTGCGCGCCTGCGCGCCTGCATGTTAACGTGCGTGCATTAGTACGTGCGGGCCGTGCCCGGGTGCAGTGAGCACGCAAACGTGAGTGTGCGTACACGCGTGCAAGTTCGACTCCTCTCATGAAAACGACATTTATAGAAAAAGCCATTCTAGCCGATCCATTACGATCACGCGTGGTCGCTCTGTTCATATTATGGTTTCGCATCGGACGCTCTCTGACGCATGCACGCACGCACGCACGCACGCACGCCCGCACGCACGCACGCACGCACGCACGCATTCGATTCCAAGATGTAACGCTGACTCTGAACGCACGTCCGTACGGGGAAAACCACCACCACGAGCAGCAGCAGTTGATAACCATCGACATTGTTCGACGATATTATTTCGAATCCGATCACGCGGCTTTGCATCTGATTTCAAACTAATAGCCGGAAGGAAACATCGTTGTCGTATAGGATATGCGCGCTGAGAAGGAAGAAGAAGAAGGAGGAGATCGTAACGTGGACGTTGCATGCGCGCGCGTGCACTCGCGAGCATTACAAGCATCTGTGATTACACGCGATTACTAACGCGATGAATAAATTACAGGTCATCGATTGCGATTGTTGTCTGGTTTCCCTGTTTTGTTACAGATACGAGCGGCATTCGTTCCTGATTGCGTTCTTTAGATGGAGAGCGGGAGAGATCTTTATCGCACGTCGTGACTCCATGAGACGCAATTCGTCGTTCGAAAGCGTGTGCTCGCGCGGCGTTTTTGTCGATAAGCGGTTTTCGACGCAAATACTTTAGTCGGAAAATGCTATCGCGCCGTATATAGCCGGTACATACGTTACCGTTGGATAGTACCGCACAAAAATATATGGAGACACTATAGAGTCTAACTAGTATATTATTTTTATGAAGGGTACAGACATTCACGGCTGGTGTTTATATACATCGAGTATACGGACAGATATGTAACCTCGCATTTTACCTTCTGAGAGTAGGTATCTCCTAGCAGTCTTAACGGAGAAACCTTCCTCCGAAGAACAGTTTCTTATCGAAATTCGAGTAAGTCTTTATATGGAAAGCGTTTTTTCGCAAACTTTTCAGAATGTTTAAGAAACCGTAAAAGGAGTTTTTATGCTATAGTCGTACGCACAGCGCGCATGCGTCAAATGTACGCGTCGCAAAATACTATAAAAATAATGAGAATAGACGAGAGGGTAAAGACGATGGAGAGGTAGACTACTCGTAGCTGTGGGGAGTAAGAAAACAAGCGCGCTAGCAAATACATAGCGATTATCGGAAACAAGACTGTGAGTAGAATGGACAGGCCTGACGTAGTGTAACGAGGCGTGAGCGCGCCTCGCCCTGTCAGGCGATGACTAGCCCTATTCAGCCCCTTTATTCGCGGGAAACGCATCGTTTTTAATCAAAACGATGAAATTCGAATGCCTTATTGTCGACACGAAGGTAAATCGTAATTTCGTGCGATGGATTTCGTCGTATAGTTCTTTCCAAGTCGAACTCATTTGATCGTATTTATCACGATCTATGAAGACTGTCGACGCAAAATGGTAATTTATACAGATGGCGCTGCGGGATTATTCGCGTAAAAGTCTTTCATCTCATTCTTTACGATATTAAGTCTTTAAATTTTGCTATGAAAACCTCAACTCGCGTCTGTCCTCCACCGGCGGGTCGGTAAGTAATGGCACTCATGATAAGCGAACGCCGAAAAACGTCTTTAAACGCGCGAATAACGAAATCGCCTCTTTGTGATAATAAAATTTACATCATAATGCTGCGGGAAGTATGGGAGTGGGGCGCGACGATCGGCGACGGACAATCATGTTCGAACTAAACGAGAAGTAATTGCGTGAATGTATCGCTGCCGTTCAGATGCGCCGAAGATAAACAGCTTATAAAACAACGGCACTGTTTATGTGTGCGAGGATTTGCTGGGATAATTAAGCCACATCATTTACAAACACAATGCCCATTTACATATGAAAAGCGCGTAAACTCGATGCTAGAACGACTCGCAGCCGCTAACGTTGTGACATCGTTGCCATCGCTCCGTAATGAAGCTACAATCGATAGCTTGGCCTTTCTACGCGCTCGTTGCCGTATAATTAAGCAAGGGTACCGGCGATCGAACCGCTTATTTCCATCTTATACCCATGCATCAAGCCCGGGGTATAATGCCGTCCGATATCCTCCCCTGCTCACAAAGCGACTCGTTTACAAAACCCCGTGTCTTAATTCCATTTTAATGTCGCCCCTTTAAATTGCAATCAGCGATAAATAATAGATTATTTTCTCATCACGGAATATCAATTTGTGCGCGCGCGCAATCTCATATTGTCGAAACAGTCATATAGAGGGCTTACGTTCCGATTATGAGCTGCGGCGAGAGTGCATTCCCGGCCGCTGCTCGCCGCAAAGCGACGTGCCGTATCATTACACCTGAATCCGTCCGCAATATCCGAGCTTTCCGCCTATCGTGTCGAGCGACGGCCAAATCCCGACGCTCGGCTGCAAGCGACGGCAGACTCTCTCCCGCTCGTTTGCCACGATGAGCGATCAAAGGGAAATCCTCTCGGCCACTTTCGCAGATCCCAAATTTGTTTTGATGCGAGGTTGGCGCGACGATAAGATGTTATTTGCGTGATTGAGTCGTGTATCATCGTCATCGGCCGTGCGTGCGTGTGGTTGGGCGTGCGTGCATGCGTGCGCGCGTGTGTGCGTTTTACATAGGTTTTTATGAAGGAAAGTTGATATACAGTGTCGCAACAGTGGAACTGTAACAGAGGGGTACGGTAGTAGGGCCTATTTGTGAATGTGTGTTCATATTATTTTCAGTTTTTACTGACTCTGTCCCAAGTGCCTGTGGCTGTGAGTTTGATGTGCCAAGTGTAACAGTCGATCACACAAAACAGCATGTGCAGATAAACCATTTTGAGTTATGAATAGACCAATAAAACGTGCCCATACAAATTTGTATAATCTGACGCTATTTTAGGGCACAATGGTCCTCGAAACGACGAAAGACAAATGTATGATTCTCGTGATGTGGATTGTCATTGTGGTAACTTGGGCTTGGGGGTTTGTATGTCACGTTACGGTACTCTTTACTTAGTGACAGTCACTGAAATCAACATAACTTGGGTGTGTATATACTTACCTCTTGATAATCGTAATTCATCGCTTTTCTTTTGGAGCTAAAATGTTTATGGATAAATACAGCTTTCGTATTATGTTATGTCTATTAGATTTCTAAAGTGCATTTAAAAAGTTCGCGCTGCGTCTGCGTTGTTACAGTTATTGTGCTGCCACCTTTAGGCACAATAAATAAACATGAGCTTCGCCTCATTGATATAACCATAGAATATAACGATATAATCTCGTAAATATTAGTCTTCAAAAGTCCTAGGGACTATAACGAAGACGGAGAGAGAAGTGGATGAAATTGAAAGATCAACACTGCGGTTTGCAGTGGAAAAAGTTGCAATTTTGCGATTTACCAATGATGAAGGTAGGAAGAGAATTCCAATACGGAATGACAGAAACAAAGAATCTGATGAACTACATATTTTCTATGCTAATGTACTGGGGCAATCGCGTACGAGTCGCCAGTGGCTTTACCAACAAAGAAAATGTTTTTCGGACAAACACATGTACACATACGCACACACACACACACACACACACACACACACACACACACACACACACACACACACACACACCACACACCACACACACACACACACGCACCGCCGCACGCCACAACGCATCACCGCGCACACGCAAACGGCACACCGAACACGCACACGCACACGCACACGCACGCACCACACGCAATCGACGCACGCCCACGCACGCACACACACAAATATACACACAATACACCTACAACTCAGCGGGGCACGGTCACACACACAGTACAAAACTCACACGCGGGCGCGACCGAGCAAATACACACATACTGTACACACAGTAACCCACGACAATTTTCTCGCTTCTCATGCGTTCAAACTGGTCGCCGGGCGGGCGGGCGACGGGCCAGTGTACGGCAGACCGGCCAAAACCCATGACGAAAATTGAGTTTTATACACTAAAATCATTCTGTTGCACAAAATCAATGATGTAAATTCTGATATACAAAATTTTTAGTTTGTTTACAATGAGATTTAAATTTGTAAGACATAATTGAGTTTTGTGCATTCACAAAATTGAGTTTTGTGGGACAGGAATGACAGAATAGAGTTTTGTGTTCGACAAAGTGAGTTTTATGGGGCAGATGGCACATAATATGAGTTTTGCTGGTTCACCATAATTGAGGTTTGTGGCTTCACAAAGTTGAGTTTTGTGTTCAGCAAAATTTAGGTTTGTGGGAACAGGATGACAGAATTAGAGTTTTGTGTCTCACAAAAATTGAGTTTTGTGCGGACAGTTAGACAGAATTGAGTATTTGTGTTTACAAAAATGAGTTTTGTGGGACAGGCATTGACAGAATGTCAGTTTTGTGTTCACAAAATTGCAGTTTTGGGGACAGGAGTTGGACCAGATTGAGTTTTTGTGTTTACACCAATGAGTTTTGTGGACAGGGGGATTGACCAGAAGTGAGTTTTAGTGTTCCACAAAAATTGAGTTTTGTGGGACGGATGACAGAATTGAGTTTTGTGTTCACAAATTGAGTTTGTGGGACAGGATGAAACAGAATGAGTTTTGTGGTTATACCAATTGAGTTTTGTGTCAACAAAATTGAGTTTTGTGGGACCAGGATTGACAGAATGGAGTTTTGTGTTAACATAAATGAGTTTTGTCGTGTGGCGCAAAATCGAGTTTTGTGTTCACAAAATAGAGATTTTGGTCGGACAGGGGTTTGTGTTCCCAAAATTGAGTTTTGTGGGACAGGGATTGACAGAGATTGAGGTTTTGTGTTGCACAAATTGAGTTTTGTGGACAGGATTGAAGAAATTTAGTCTTTGTGTTCACAAAATTGATTTTGTAGGACAAGCCGATTTGACAGAATTGAGTGTTTGTTGTGCTACAAAATTGAGTGTGTGTGATCTGAATTGACAGAATTGAATTTTGTGACATGCAAAGAGTGAGTTTTGTGCACAAAATTGCACTTTTGTGAGACAGAATTTGGAGTTTTTGCGAAAAAATGGCGAGTTTGTGTTTCACCAAAAAATTTGAGTGTGTGTGTTGGAAAAAATGCGAGTTTTGTGTTCCACAAAATTGAGTTTTGTGAGACAGAATTGAGTTTTGTGCATTAAAGTGAGTTTTGTGCCACAAATTGACTTTTGCTGGAGACAGAATGAGTTTTGTGTTAGATCAAAATTGAGGTTTGGTCCCAGCAAAATTGATTCTTGTGTCTGAACTACAGTTTATAGTACGTACAAAAATGGCATTTTGCTTGACAAATTGGAGCATGATCCTACTTAGCCCCCCGTAAACGTGATGCTAAAGTCCTATCTATAATATTCACTTTGGCCTTCGCAGCTTAGTGTCGTCCGGGTCCGTATATAGGCTTACATGGTAGCATGAGATGCGCTCGTGCGTCGGTGCGAGCGTGTGTGTCGTGCTGAGAGTGAGAATTTTCTTCGGCGCTTTGTCATACGTTTCAACTGGTGCGGGCGAGACCGACGGCACGGTGTGCATGCCTAAAGTTAAACGGTCGATCTAGGAGAGAGAGTGAGTGGAGTTGCGACGGCGGACCAAACGTGCGTTTGGCATTTTCATTCTATGCATTAGCATAGGTGTGAACCAGGGCGATGTACGAGCAAAGTGAATATTATAAGGTTGGATTCTAGCCGCTGAACGCTGCCGTCGGTTCGCCCAGCTCTAGAGTGTGAGTAGGTATACACTCGCCATAAAGGAATAATTATCTTGAGCTAGTCAACGCGTTCGACCGACGACTCGTCCGTCGCACATTTTTATGTACATTATCATATGAGTGAGATAGTGGCGTGGCGGTTGGGCGCGCGTAAATACCTGCGAGCAAAAAGTTAACATTGCTAGCATGGAATTTGCAAGTACACACCGGGCCGTGTTCGCCGGCTGCGTCGGCTCCAGATGAACGTAGTGCGCATTCGTCGACCGGGAAGAAAATTCGTGCTTGAGCCAGTCAACCGCAATCCTACCGTCCGTCTGCGCCATTTTCATGTAGATTAGCAAGAGTGGGCGGACCCAGGGGAAGCTGCGAGCAAATTGAATATAGATTAGATCTGATTTTATTATGCACCACCCAGCTGTGCCCGAATCTAGAGGGATGCTTCAGGCCCCTCCGCCTTCAGCCATGTGACTAATAAAAAAAAGTCAGTCTGCAGGCTCAATAGAAAACTGCATGGAGATATTCCCCGTGTGATTACACAGCTGCAAAATTTACAGGTAAGAGGGCGGCATTGCCCCCGGACCACCCTAGCACTGGCGTGCCTTCGGCAACGCCTTGTACTCAATACTCAACTATCAGACCCCCTGTCTCCTGAAGAGCTAGATTCCGCCCTTGTAGATATATTATATTATATATCAGGAGTAGCATAATAGGCTATAATCTACATTTCTGAAATATTATATTATTTATTTATTTATTATTTATTTATTCTATTCACTATAACATATTACGTATACAATATCTAAGCTATCGACTATTTAGCCAAGCAGCCTCAAAAGATTATTATTCGACGTGCGCGAAGAAACCTATAGAGAATAAGGGAGATAGTCAGGCTGATCAAATTGGCGTATATTCAACACGCAGATTTGCAGTCACAAACATTTCATTTTTTTAATTACGCTAAGAAGAAAAGCGAAAGAGATATTCCAGCTATGTGATGGCCGCACACAGGGAAGCTTAAATATGATGGATCCTTCGAAAAGGCGCCATATGCGCAGGCATTGATGCCAGTGGCATCAGATTCACATGAGATCGAGTGCTACGAATAGCGTTTCATCAAACAAGATAGGAATGCCGCATTCTTCCCACGTGACAATTTATTAGAATGACCGTTATTTAGACAACGGCCTATAGAGCCGTGTTATTAAACATTGGTATCATAGTAATATAAGAGTAGGCCTATAACTTCCGACATTAATCAGGATCCACCAGCTACGCGATGCTAATAAACGTATTTATCAAAGGATTAAACAAATTAACACGCCAAAAACCCGTCGCTAACTTTTTCGATGTTTGTATAGTGATGAAAATTGTCATGGTCGCCGCATGGAATAAAGATACACGTACGTGATTCAATACACATGAATACTGTTAGCAAAATATGCGACGTTAGAGGGCGATACCAGTCTAGCAATCACGCTGCACTGGTTTACTGTACCGTTGTTCCAATGCGCTCACCACACCACCCATGCACCGCCGACCGTCAGCTACTGTAGCGGTTTTACTGCCGCTAAAGGGCTACTGACGCACTGCTTTGCTACTGCCCTGCCTGCAGAAGGTTACTTGAACTGCTACTGTCCCTTTTGCTACTGCTGCTGCCTACTGCTGCTTCTGCTTCTGTACTGCCCTACTGCTACTGGCAGTGATACTGCCTACGATGTAAGCCACAACAAATCATCACTATCAAATATCTTTACGAGAGTCCAGGATAGCTGCCGAGGCCAACTTTAATGATTTCTGGGGCAGTAACCAATATATAACGGCTGAAAAAACGAAGTCGGTTTTAGATGCGCTGCAATTTATTTGCTAGATTAAAAACGGAAACCTCGGAGTAAAATAGCGATGTTATCCTGCGAAAAATTTAAGGAAACGGCCATACCACGGCGAGCCGTCGCTGTATAAAATATATAATATATAGATATTATAATCAAATATATTATATTATATATGGATATACGACACGCCACACGTATATAATATATATACGCGCACGCGCTGTGTGCGTTGTGTGTGTGTCTGTGCGAGTCAAAAAATACGCCTTCCCTACCACGGTGCCGTTTAAGTCATAAAATGTTGCTGCGTTATTCCCACAGGCTCTATTATAGTAAGATTCGACGCTATTAGTCACGCGGCAGCGAACACGCGCGCGGGGGCAGGCGCACGCCTTAATTAGATCATTGATAACTTGCGCCCGCGCGCCGGGCGCACCCAGCAGCATACACCTCACGTTCCATCCCCCCCCCTCGGCTGTCGGCGGCCGCGTCACGCGAAACACGCACGTGCTTCCTTAATGGCTTCACAATTTGTTTTGTTCCGTCAGTCGTCGGTAGCCGGTAACTGCGATACGGGTGAACGGTGCGGCACGCAACGCGGCCGATTGCCCCTCCAATGATGGAGAGGATGGAGAGGAGAGGAAGGCAGGGAGCAGGCCAAGGGGAGGAGTAGGAGAAGGAGAAGGCGGAGTACGAGGAAGACATGAAAAGAGGGGGAAGTTATTGATGAGGAGGACGAGGGACGGGAAGAGAAAGGGGGAGATAAAGGAGATGGACCGGGGAGGGGAGCGATCTCGAGGACAGGAGAAAGAAGGAGAATAGAGGCAAGAGAAGAAGAGGAAGCAAGAGGAAGAAGAAGAAGCTAGAAGAAGTAAGAAAACAAAGAGAGAAGAAAAAAACGGAGGTGGATAATAAATAGTTAATAAGGGGTGGAAATTAGCACAGGATAGTGAGATACGAAACGCATTATCCGCAACCGAAGAGAAGTATGGGTCGCTGACGTGATGTGCTCATTCAACAGGAAGTACAGCATAAGCGAGTCACGAGGATGTGCGAGAAGATGGATAAGGTGGGGCGATGGGGAAAGTTAATATAAAATATATACGGGAAGATGAAGAGACTTTGTGTAGGGAGAATGACGAGAAGGCAGGTCGAGAGGCGTGAGATTGAGGGACGAATGAGAGACAGTGAGGTAACAGAGAGGAGCGGCACAAGTGGTAGAAGGGGGTGTAGATGAAATGACACGAGTGATGTCGATGGGCGTGGCGCATATAAACATCTTCAAGATGTAATGTGGTGGATTAGAGCATCCTATCCTTAAAACAGAATGATAAAGATCGGATAGGGCAGGCGAGAATAAACTAATAGTTCGAAGATAGTACAACTAGTTTCTTGTGACAATTGCTCAAAATGTATTAAAAAAACATCTATATCCGCTTCGCCCTACTTATAACACCCACCAAACATGAAAATCTGAACAGAAGTTCACACACAACACACACACACACACACACACACACACACACACACACACACACACACACACAACACACACACACACACACACACCACACACACACGCACGCACGCGCACACACACGCACGCACGCGCACACACACGCACGCACGCACGCACGCACGCACGCACGCACACACACACACACAGATGTGAGAGAGAGGCACAACCTGCACTGCCTGCCCTGCCTGTCTTCCCGCACGCCTGCACACATGCCCCGCGCCGTCATCTCCCTAAGCTATATAGGCGAGAATACCGACCGCTGTTTGTGTATCCACATCTTACACGTATGAAGAAATAACAGCGCGCGGCAGCGGCGGCGGCGGCGGCGGCGGCGGCGGCGAATTCGTAACGTCGTCGTTTGATTGATTGATCACGCGGCCTTGCGTGATTTCGCAGCGGGGTGTATAAAGAGCTATCGCGCATTTATGACGTTATGAGTTTTACCCATCGGCCGCTGGTGTATGACTTGTTTAGCAGCGGCTTGGTTAGTTTTGCCACGTCGAGCGGTTGCCGCGTCTGAAATATTTGCGTGTCGAATATTCTTGTGTTGTAGAAGGCGTGTGAATATTATCATTCACTCATTAGCATTCAGTAGAATGCTTAGCATCGTAAAATTAGAAACGTGCGAGATCAAACAGATTAAAGTGTAGTTTCATCGACGTTTATTTGAAAAAGAGTAAAAAAATGATTCACGATCCTATATTATTCGAATAGAGGAAGATGTGGTGGAACATTCGAAAGGAGGAGTTCCCGCGTGACGTCACAATAGCGATCGAAGGTGTATCCCACAATTATTTTCCGCTCTGCAAAACGAGGCAAATGAAGTCGTTATTGACCGACAGAATTTACCGCAGATTTTTAGCGAAATGGATCGTGATTTTCGCGGGTTGCGCGCATACACGGGCGGGAGGGAAGGATATAAGATACACGGGGGAATGATACACACGGTCGGTGTATCGTCTGCGAATCCGGCGTGTTTCGATTCGGGCGTTGCGAGAGCGCGCCTCGTCTGCACGTGTGCTTATTTACATGTTTACCATACAGTTCATTATCTGCGCAAATCTGTTGTAACGCGGCCATCATTTTCGATGCGGCTGTTTCCGCCCCGAGCTGTGTATATAGTAGGAGTTCGGGGGCCCGTCCGCCACCGCCGCAGCCGCAGCATGGGCGCACGTGTAAAAACAACGCTCACTGTCAGCGCTGTTTTCTCCTTAATGGACTAAGAGACACCGCGGCATGAAATAACCGACACAGTATCAAATATATATTACACAATTATACTACGCCGTCATACACAACTCTGCCCCCGTCTCCCCGGCTCGCCACGTCGGTATATATAATTATATATATATATATATATATATATATATATATATATATATATATACTATATATA